ACACATAATTCTCAGTCTAGTTTTGAAAGTTAGTCTAATCATGAAGCAATGACACAGTTCTGAATATGATAAGAAGATGTATTTGAGGAAATAAGCAAAGATTCACGCATTCTGAGATAACCTGAAGTTTAAATTGAGTGAAATTGAGGCAGTAAGTCTGGGAAATCAAGAGGTTGATAAGAGCATACAATAAGGAAATGTCTCTCAAGAAGTTTGAGGAAAATCAGTCAGTCTTGAAATGCATTATTCCACATCAATATAAGGTTGAGTCAAGTCTGCTTCGAACTGGCAAGGATCATTCATTGGGACAAAGGTATTGCCCGTCGGCACTTTCTGTTTGTCATGATGCCATCAATAGATACTGTGCATAATTTCTTTGCTTATATTCAATTGCACGTTTGTACATGGTATTTTTTAAAGTTTGGTATGACGAAGGCATTTTATTCTGCTACCCCAAACACTTTTATCTTTTGCTACCCCTTTTGAGCCTTAATTTGCTTTGTTCCATACCCCTCTTTAGGAATCAGAAGTAGAGTTAGGAACTAGAAAAGAAAAAAGAAAAAAGAAAAAGAAGAAAAAGAAAAAAGGAGAAAAGAAAAAATAGATAAAAAAGAAGAAAGGAAAAAAATAACCAACTTTGTGTTTTTAACTACGTTCGACCTCATTCTTGTCACCACAAGATACGTAGGCAGCCTTACGATTCGGTCGCACCAAATAAAATATTTCATAATCCCCAGAATTCAAGTGTGGGGTAGATTTTCTTAGAAATCTCATAAAAAAATCCCCAAACTCCAAGAAATTGGGGCAGAAGTTTTAATTTTTTCACAAGACCTGATTCCAAAAGTTCTAATTTTGAAACCATTCATCTTAAATTATTTTGATCCTTCATGCCACCCTTTCTTTCTAATCCGATCCAAAAGCCTACATTACGGTCCAAAGAAAGACCTTTCGACCAATCTTTCAGGATGCCAAATAAAGTGTGTGGTAAATGTATGATCTTCTTGTATCATGGGTAATACCTTGTTCTCAAAAACAAAGAAAGAAAATGATAAAATGAGAGAGTCTTATTGGTGAAAACCCTCAGAGGCACCGTAAGGCGACAGTGAGTTGAGAAAAGAACAAAATGAGTGAGGCTCGATGGTGAAAACCTTCAGGGCACTACAAGTCGATTGAGGATTGTGGATCAGATGGGACAATTGAAGCGCTGAAGCCTAGTTTCAGAGCAAAGAGGTACAATAAGAGTTGAATATTAGACTTGCTTGAGAGATTAGGCCACTTAATCCAAAGGTGCATGTCATGGTCATTAGAGTTGGTATCCACATCTGATAAGTTTCTACTTTGTAATTTTCTTGTTAGGTATCATCTCTTTCCATTGTCCCTTATTTTGTTCCTCTTGTTTTGTTTGAGTCCCTTCTTGAGTCCGTTTGGTCAGAACAAGTGAGAAATGACTTCAAAATTTGCTACCAGATTTCCAATTGCACAAAACGAATTTGGCTAGCACATCAAAGTGTCATAAGTCAGGGAAAAGCAGTATACTCACTGAGTTGGTAACAATCAACATGCTTTGGGATTCATGTTAAATGCAAAGGTTCGGTAAATGTCAATTCATTAGCAAAATGCAATAGATAGAGGATATTGGGATCGAATAGAGCGGAGGTGTTTTCTGTGATAAATGTTGAAAGAAAATGGGTAGTAAATAACAGGCAAGGTCTTCCAAGTTGAAATCAAAGTTATCTTGGCAAGTGCAGAAGCAACCGCCTTCAAGGTCAAGGCCACAAACTAACCACCATGTTTTAAACTCACAAGTTTTCTTTGTCTGAAACAGGGATGAAGGCTATGTTCATAACAAAGCTTGAATTTTTCAGGTGTAATGCCCCAATTCTGCTTGCGCGAAGGCTACTGAGAAGAACACACATCACCCTTAGGAGAAGCACTTCCTAGTCTGGGCCTTTCAAGTTATATTTTGTTTTAGGAGACACACTTCCTAAATTGAGATTTTACCCCTAGGAGATGCACTTCCTAGCTGGGTATTTCAAGTTATATTTTTATATTAGGAGACACACTTCCTAATGTTGGTCATTTAAATTCATCCCTAGGAGGCGCACATCCTAGTTGGAGTCATTGAAGTTTTACCCATTAGGAGACGCACTTCCTAGTAGGGGTCTTTCAGATTATACTTGTTAGGAGATGCACTTTCTAGCTTTGGTCATTTAAATTCATTCCTAGGAGACGCACTTCATAGTTTTAGTCATTGAAGTTTCACTCCTAGGAGATGCACTTCCTAGTCTGGGTTTTTCAGGTTATATTTTTGTTTTAGGAGACGCACTTCCTAAATTGAGTTTCACCCCTAGGAGACGCACTTCCTAGTTTTGGGTCATTTAAGTTTATTCCTAGGAGATGCACTTCCTAGTTTGAGTCATTGAAGTTTCACCCCTAGGAGACACACTTTCTAGTCTGGGGTCGTTCAAGTTATATTTTTGTTTTAGGAGACGCACTTCCTAAATTGAGGTTCTACCCCTAGGAGACGCACTTCCTAGTTTGGGTCATTTAAGTTCATTCCTAGGAGACGCGCTTCCTAGTTTGAGTCATTGAAGTTTCGCCCCTAGGAGACGCACTTCCTAGTCGGGGTCTTTCACGTTATATTTTTGTTTTAGGAGACGAACTTCCTAAATTAAGATTTTACCCCTAGGAGATGCACTTCCTAGGTTTGGGCATTTACGTTTATTTTTAGGAGACGACACTTCCTAGTTTGAGTCATTCAAGTTTTACCCCGAGGATACGCACTTCCGAGTTTTTGTTCATTCACATTCCACCCTAGGAGACGCACTTCCTAGTTTTGGGTCATTTAAGTTCATTCCTAGGAGACGCACTTCCTAGTTTGAGTTTTTAAAGTTTCGCCTCTAGGAGACACACTTCCTAGTTCTGGGTCATTTAAGTTTATTCCTAGGAGACACACTTCCTAGTTTGAGTCATTGAAATTTTACCTCTAAGAGATGCACTTCCTAGTCTAGGGTTTTCAAGTTATATTTATTTTAGGAGAAGTACTTCCTAAATTGAGATTTTACCTCTAGGAGACGCACTTCCTAGTTTTGGTTCATTAAAGTTTCATCCCCAGGAGATGCACTTCTTAGTTTGGGTCATTCAGGTTTTATTATTAGCAAACGCATTTTCTAGTCAAAGTTTCTTGGTTTTACTCACAGGAGACGCACATCCTAGTTGAGTCTTTAGCTTACTATCATCAAGCATAAGTGGTTTACAGTTTTGCTAACAACTCACAGATCTTCCTAGTGCAAACTGGAGTAGAAGATTTTGTTTGTTTTGTTGTTTTGATCACAGGCACCCACCTGGAGAACAAGGGAATTCATATCAAGTTTCAAGCAAGTCGCAGGCACCCACCTAGAGAACGAGAGAATCCATTTCAAGTTCTTTTTAGAGTCACTTCAAATTTCAAGTCAGTAGCAGGCGCCCACCTGAAGAACAAGGGAAGTCATTTGAGAATTCAATTCAAGTTAGAAGTAGCAGAAGCTCGTGGCAAGAATGTGAGTCAACAGTCCGAGATGACCAACAGAAGTAATCTCAATCCAGAATTTTAAAAAAAAAGTGATCCAAAATGCACAAACAGGTGAAAGATGTGAACTGCTCAAAACATGGTTGAAGTTATGAGCATTGCATGCCCGATCTTGATCCAAAGAAGTCTTGGAGGAATGAATCAACACCTGCAGCTAGCAAGCGTCAAGGTTCAAATCTAAAGTCTGCATGAAGAACCATTCAAGACTCAAGATCAAGTTTCATAAGACTTATAGATAGGAATCTTGTAACTCATAGCTGACATGCTTAATTAGTCTTATTCATTTTTTGATTTTGATGTAATAACAGGACCGTGGACTGGAACTTTGACGGCACCTCAATCGGCTCTCCACCTCGCTAAACTCCATCACTCTTCCTACTTCTGAACTACAGGTGGCCTGATTCCTTTATAACCAAGGATATGTAGGCAGCTCAGATACCAGGGCTCGGTCACGTTCTCCTTTCTTTTAGTTTTTAATCTCTCTAAATAAGGGTCGGGTCAAAAAACCTGTCTCGTCGTTCTTTGTCTGAAAACTCTTCGTGTTTCCAATCAAAGAGGGACAACTATAGACATGTAATTTTAGACCCTCTCCAAGATTTTACGCATTTTAGTGTTAAATATTTAGTTTAGGTCTAGTATAGCTATTTAAACTAGTTTTGACACTTTTACTTTATTTTGTCACAAAAACAAAAATTACAAAAAAAATACTTTCTTTTATTTAGCTAATTAATATTATATCTAGTTATATATAGTTTATCTTACATCCTATAAGGTGAAAAACACAAAAAAAAGAGTCATATTTTTTTTTTCAAAAAATAAAATGAAAAGTTTTAAAAAATATTTTCACTTAGTTTAGTGTTACTTTTAAATTGTAGGTCTTTAATGAAATATAGAGTAGTGTTTAGATTTTAAAATATATTATTTTATTTCTTTCTTTTAATATCCTATTAGTTTAGATAAACATCAATTTTGTTTATTTTCATAAGAAAAGAATGAAAAAAGAAGAAAAGAAAATAGAAAACGAAGAAGAGGAAAAGAACGTCTGAAGCAAAACAAAGAAATGAAATGGTTCCTTTTATCTTTTCACAAGGTGATCACATCCATTTTCATAATTTTCTTATTCTATTTTTGTCTCCTTCTTTAAAATATTATTATAACATTGACTTCTACTTCATTTTCTTATATTTGCACTCATAATATTTTCTTCTAGATATTCCACATGTACAGATATTCCTTGTTCTTTCTTTTCATCAACTAATATCACCTTGACACCTCATCATTGTCACATGCTCCCATATTTCCAATCCTACACATTCTACTCATGCCATACACATCCGAGAATTTGGATTTTAGCATTTTTATCCCATAGGGACCACACGGTTTGTGGGCATGGTTTTGCTTTCTCCCCAAGATATTTTTGGGATAAAGAACCACACACAGAGAATTAGGGAGGGGGGACGGAAAAGCAGAGAGCAAAAAAGAGAACAGAAGCGGCGAGATTAGCAACGAGAAAAACCTAGCACCGCAACCTCTTCATCCCAAAAATCTATCTCTATAGCTACACCACCATGAAAATACCATAGCTAATCCTCATTTTCTCCATTGAAATAGCTTACGTTTCCAGCACTAAAATCAGTCACAAAACCCATTTATAATACTATTTCGGATCAAGAGTTTAGCGATTTCAAATCTTCGGCTCTCTGAATCTGAGTCAAGTTCGATTTCCGGTCAAGAGTGTTGAGTTTCTTTTTAATATAGAAAGGTATTAAAAAGAGGGTGAATGGGAAATGAGGGAAATGAAAATTTTGAGTAAAATTTTAAGTTTCCCTCTCCTTTTAATGAGACATTGTCCCTCATTGGTAGAGGGAAAGGAGTTTGGTGGGTTTATATACAAATGCACTTCATGTAGCTCTTAAAGAGTTAAGAAGAAGGCAAGCCTCGCGCCGTCGTCTCTCGGTCGGCTACGGCTACAGCTTCGGGTTCGGCTTCGGGTTCGGCTTCGGATTCGTATTCGGATTTGGTCAAATGATTGATTGATTAATTTTTTGGACCAAATTTATTTGTTAATAGTAGATATTAACGTAATATTATCTGTGTTTGTAACGGATATGTTCCAATCCGTGTATTGTACCACCAGGTGCAATAGCAGCCGCCTAGTGCTCCTCCCACCATGGCTAAGTGCTTGCTCCATAACAAGCTAGTGCATGCTCCACCATGGCTTGCTCCATAACGAGCTAGTGCATGCTCCACCATGGAGAGGGGCGGGTCTCACAACTGACTGCTATAAATATGAACATCAGCAGTTGGAGAATAGATATACCGAAACAGAATTGAGAACTATTGATCTTCTCTTAACCGAAAACTCAACGTTGGCTATAATTTGCATTCCTTCCTCTCAGAATTTCCATTCGACTTCTGAGTTTTCCTCCCTTGTTCTGCATTGTTTTAAACTACAAACAAAGCATCCAAAAAAATGGCGAATGACAACGGAAATCAAGCTGTTCCGATGGTGACTGTCAACGCATCGACAAGCCGAACACCGGCTTTAGCACCGGCAGAAAAACCCGGAAAAATTTTCGGGATTGATTTCAAGTGCTGGAAGCAGAAGATGTTCTTCTACCTGACTACGTTATGTCTACAGAAGTTTATCAAGGAAGATGTTCCTGATGTGCCAGATGAAACTCCAGAGAATGAAAGCTTTCTCGTGATTGAGGCGTGGAAGCATTCTGATTTTTTGTGCAAGAATTATATTCTTAGCGGACTGGATGATAATCTGTGTAATGTATACAGTGGCATGGAGACATCAAAAGAATTGTGGAATGCGCTTGAGAAGAAATACAAAACTGAATATGACGGGATGAAGAAATTCGTCGCTACAAAATTTTTGGACTACAAAATGGTAGATAGCAAGTCTGTTATTACCCAAGTCCAGGAATTGCAAGTAACTATTCATGATCTACTTGCTGAAGGTATATTTCACAAGAATACTGATATTGAAAGTAAAATTTTTAGTAATTTTACAAATGAAATTTTCATTGAAGGTCTTGTCATCAATGAAGCATTCCAAGTAGCAGCAATAATTGAGAAG